TTAGTAAAAGTTTGAATGTAGTCATCATTCCTTTTTAACACCGAAACTTCCAGGTGTAGAAAAAAAATTGAAATAGATGAAATGAAAATTCTAACTCAAATGAACCTCCTTGTGTTTTCAAATTTATGTATACATTAACATAATCACATAGATGAGTTAAACTTAAAAGAGTTCGATATAAAGGCAATAATAGCTATACTTGAGGAGGGAAGAAAAATGTGAATGGAGGCATACTTTCCTTCTAAATCATCTTTATTGTTGTCTTTATATCAGCCTCCTTTAACTTTAACCCATTTACATGATTATGTTTATTTATATAGAAAATTGAAATTATAAAATCTGGTTTGAACCTTATTTGAGGTATTCTTGATTTTCACATTTAATGATCGAAGCCTAAGTTCAACATAGATGTTTGATCTATCTTTGAATAAGAATCGAACATTAAATATAATGTTCAAACTTTGTTCTCTTTTGAACCTAAAGTGTCAAGGCAGGGTCAACGCTCAATGCTATCCCATTGAGATTCTTCACTTGATTTCCAATTAATGCACAATAACTTTTAGCATTATCCAATTATTTTTGCTAGAATTAAATTTTCTTACATTTTTATTCGAAACCTTAGTTTTTTAAATCCTATTATCATGGGGATGAAATAACTCCAATAAATTTGGCATGAGACATTAAATTGTAAAGACAATACTAATTCATGCAAACAAATTATGATTATTTAATGTTGTTGACATGGCTTTCAGGTCATCATACATTAATTTTATATAAATTACATATAGAAGTTGCGATAAGTACATATAATTATTCACTTTCATTTGGCTTATTTCCAAATAAATATAAAGGATGGTATTAAGATAACAAGCTCATACAATGATAAAAAAAAATTTGGGGCATGTACATACATAGCAGCCAATTGTAACACCTAAATTTTACCTCTTATATTTATAGCATCTAAATCTTTCATATCACTTCAAAAGTGTCACTATTTTAACTTTGGAAAAGTGAAATGCAACTTTTCATGTATAGGTAAGGCGATATATATGTAAAAATTGAAGTTTCATTGTTAGATATGTAAATACCTAAAAATAGAGAGGTATGATATAAATCTTCCGAAGTTCTTTCTTATAAAACTCATGCAAGTGGTTATGCATTAATTCCTTATTGCTCTAACTTTCATCATTGGTATATGTGCTACAGATGCAAATGATGTTGCATCAACTCCATTATACTTGAGAGAAGCTCTCTCCAAAGAGTTGATTCTTAGATATGAGTGTTATGTATGTAAATATGAAATTTTAGATATTAGATATGTAAATGCATAAGAATTGTGTGGTATGTATTTAAATGCCCCTTTATTTCATGATGATTGTGAAGTACTACAAAACTACCCTCATTAAATTCGAGATCTCTTCAACTAAATTAGTTCTAATGATTTAGAAGACCAGAAAAAAAAAAAAAATTCCAATTATTTGTAATATTTGTTGCCTAACCTCTAAATTTTTTTTTTTCCCAATTATTTGTAATATTTGTTGCCTAACCTCTAAACATGTCTGGCAAGCAAGGTTCATTAGAAACAACTATTGATCCACTACTTGTGCATTGATTAGTAATGGCTTTGTTATTGTTGTTTTATAATTATTTAGAATCTGTTTAGGTGGCTGCAAAAGTTCAGATCACATTATGGTAAAATAATGACTCTACAACCATCTTTATAAAAAAGAGGCATTTACATTCATACCGCACAATTCTTATGTATTTACATATCTAGCTTCTAAATATTCATTTTTGCATGCATATTGCTCATATCTTTAACACCATATTAAAAAAATATTACAATCACTATCTTTTTAAATTATTTATCTGCTTAAGTCGTTGCTTCACTATTATGAATATTACACACATTCCACCCTTTTTTTATGTATTTACATATCTAACCCCCGTGGTTTGATGTTTACATTTAGCATTTGGAATAATTCACAACAAAGTAAATCATAAGTTATTAAACTCTTACTATTTTAAAATTATTTTAGAATGTGTGTGATTTATGTCCAATCAACTACCTTGCAATAACAATATATTCCCCATATTGCAATTAAAATATTGTAATATGTTTTTGGTCTATATTAATATTCTCCTTTCATATGATATAAAGATCCGCTCGTGAACCCTTGGCCCCATTTCTTGTACTACCTCATCACTAACAAAGTCATTTGCGTAAGCCTTCCTTCTAAATTTGAAAATTTCAAATGGCTGATTTCCCTTTCTTAGTAGAAATATTTGCATACGTCGAACGTACGCAGAGTTGCGTACTTCAGTAGGTTATAAGGAGGATATTGAGAGTTATATCTGCGTTATACTTCATGTAATCTCCCTGTAATCTCCCTGTAACTAATAAGTTCCGCGCTTCTCTTTTCATATGTTGTAAGTTACAAGTAAGTTACAGGTAGGTTACAGGAAGGTTACAGGGGGTATAACGCGGATATAACCCTCAAATATCCTCCTTGTAACCTACTGATGTATGTAGCTCTACGTACGTCTAACGTACTTTAGACGTACGCAAATATTAATAACCACCCTGAGCGGTGGTTTTCCGGCGATGTTCTTCGGATCGGTAACCTTACCTTCTTGGATATCCGATTCAGTTCTCGGTTTCTGTATTTACACTCCGGCTTAATTATCTTTTTATTAATAATAATCAGTTTGATCAGCAGATTGCTGCTGATTTTGGAAAAAATAAGGCTCGTTATCTTACTTTTGCTAACAGTGGATTTACGGGTCCTATTCCAGCTTCTATTTCCATTGCCTCTGATGCACTTATTGAGGTAAAGGTTATTTATTTATTTATTTTTGGAGCATTTATATAAATACCATGCAATTCTACCCTATTTATATATCTAAAATTTATAATTTCACATTTACATACATAACACAAATTCTTAACATATGTTGTATCCTGTTGTGTCCTTGAATCACATCTCAAAAGTTAAGAGCCTAAAAAGAGAGAGAGAGAGAGAGAGATAGAAAGAGGGAGAGAAATGAACAATAAATGAATATACTTTCTCATAAAATAATTATTTTATTTATAGGAGAGATTATATAATATATGATATTATATTTTTTCTCTTGTTGTAGTGGGGGTTGTTACAGAATATTCTAGATATTTTACATGCATGATGCTATTGTTCGGCTGCCCTATGACTTGGTTGATTATGATAGCATGACTTCAATTTGATAAGGATGATTCAGTCAGCTAGTCAGTCGATCTTGATTAACTTCAGGTCGACATAACTGAATCAATTGGTTATACTTTGTCGATCAGTTGATATGGTTTGAATATCAACTGTTGATCACAATATAAGGTGCTTCTATAGACAAAATGAGATTAAGCTATCCAGCGGAGGACTAGTCACCTTAATTTCACAAATAGCTCAAAAATAATTGAATTTTGCTCATATTTAATATATATATATATATATATATATATATTCTAAAAGTATATATATATATATATATATATTAGTATCATGCATAAAAAAATATTATATTTATGAGTCTCCATAAAAATCTAATAATTTCAGATTACCCTAACCATAAAATAGGAAAATTTACATCCCTACAGCACATAATACTGCCTATTTACATGTCCAACACCTAAATCTTTATATTTAGCTTTAATTATAACACTTTCTGTAACAAATTTGTATATAAAAATACGACTTTTACCTTTTAAAAGACGAAAAAGTAAATAATAAAATTATATCAAAACAATGCAATACAAATTCATTTTATATAAATAATTTATATGAAGGCATATCTGACACCTTTCTCCCCTCAGGTCCTGTTCCTGAACAACAAGCCCTCCAGCTGCCTCTCCGCATCGGTGATCTGAAGAAACCCACGATTGATGCCGGCCTCAACGAACTCACCGGCCCCATACCCTTGCCTGCCTCCTCAACCTCCAACAACTCAACCTCGCCGTCAACAAACTCTACGGCGAAGTTCCCGACCCCTTGTGCCGTCCAGCCTTCGCCGGAAAATTACTCAACCTCTCCCTCTCCCAAAACTATTTCACTAAAACCCTTCTGCGGGACCTTGATATTTTACTTTCATACCCCCCCAACCTATCTATTTACATAACTCCTAAACATTACATGAGAAAATATTACAAAGAGACCTATCTATTTACATCTCCTAAACATTACATGAGAAAATATTACAAAGAGAACACTTAGAGTGGCACATATATATAAATTAAAGTTTAGCTGTTAGAGATGTAAAGAGTGTAATGTAAGTAAATCTTCCAAAATAATTTTCTAATCATATATTAGACAAGATATCCAGGCCTAACTTTCTCATGCTAAGAAGGCTGCTCCAAATAGAACCATAAAATCTACTAAGATGGCCATGATAACATAAAACCCCAAGCTATTATTTGCATAACCTAAGATGATTCAACTCATGAAAATACATCAATAATTGATCCAATTGCTAATATTTGTTCACAATGTGTCATCAACAATTTTTTTATCAAGCAACAAAATTTTTATCAAGCAGGAATCTCATTTCATTTTTTATAATGAACCTTCCAAATTCAAATTCCGATTTAACAAGTCGAATAATGTCAAAATTAGTTCAATCTATATCGAATCAAGCCCAAATCACGTCGTTGAAGTGCGACCGGAGGTTTTAAATGATCAATTTAATAGTCAATGAACTCCAACTTCAACATATTTATACTCAAATTGAAATGTGTTGTGTGTGTTGGATCTTAGTACAATGTAAGAACATTAATATATCACATTATTGCCATGAATTTTCCAACTCACAACAGTTCTAGAGAAAAATAATACTCTAAATTTGCAGAAATTGAAATGAACTATTTTGCACAATAAATTTAGGAAACCAAAATGCATTAAATAAAAAATTAAAATTCATAGATGGATATATCAAACCCGAACAAAATAGAACCAAATCATGAAAATTGCAGAATTAACTACAAAGTATATCCCTAATCATGCATTATATTAGCAAAATACGATGGTTTTTCGCATTAATTATAGGCTTTCTTCAGGACAGAAGAGAGCCTTAGTCTAAGACTCATCATTAAGACAATAATTATAGGCTGTTTAGTGTTTAGCTTACTATAAATATGAAGGCATTAGGCCGAGCTACTAGAAGCCCCATCATCTTCAGCAGTAGCTGCTCTCCTTCGGTCATAACGCTGAAAAAATATAGGTTGAGAATAAAGCAAGATTGCAGGGAAAAGAACTTGAAGAAGAGAAATTTACACACATACCACACAATTCTTATGGATTTACATATCTAACACCTAGAGTTTGATATTTACATTTAGACCGCCGTGGGCGATAAACCTAAAAGGTGCATCTGCCTTAAAAAAAGGTATTTTTTATTACATGTTAAAAGATTCGAGTGATATGAATGTGAACATTAAAGTTTTAGCTGTTAGATATATGTAAATACATGAGAATTGTGTGGTATGTATGTAAATGACCCTATAAAGAAACTCCACTAACCTGCTTTCCGAAGGTGAAGGGAACGTATCTGTACTTAATCATGTGAAGTATTTGTCTCTTCATTGTTGCTGTGAATAGCACCAGCCAGTAAAGGAGCAGAATTGGCCAAAAAACAGGCACGTCGAATACGCTGAAGAATGTCATGAAGAAAGCAATAACGAAGGCTTTTGTCATGGAATACCTGAAGAGGAAGGAATTGGAGAGTCAGTGTGATAGGATACAATAATAGTTAGTTCTTGTATTAGATTAATAAGCATAGTTAATTAGTTGGGAATTAGTATTAATGAAATTGATAAACATTGTGCATCAATAAATAGTCTCTATATGAAAGATATATTCTCTGTATGAGAGATTCAGGAATAGATGAAAATCGGGTAAGCACTCTCCCTATTCCGTGTTTTTCTTCATCTTCTTCTTCCCCCCTTTCTGATTTTTGGAGTTATGAGCATTCTATTTATCCTTCTCAATCTGTGTTTCTCTTCTCTATTCCACCCACACCCAATTTTTGGAGTTGCCAACGTCCTCAAATTGCTGATTATTAAGTTTCAAGTAACGAGTTGGTATCATAGACTGTCAACACAATGGCTAACATGTTTTTCTAGGTGAGGCTGATTATCCGAAGTAACTGAAAATCTTAGGTCTACTGAGAAAAATGATTTTTAGCCCCATAGATTATGTTCTCACATGATCTATGATTTAACTAATTAGTGATTTTATGATAATAAGTTTTTATTGGTGACATCTAATTATTTGTCATGTGATTAGCAAATTTATCAAATAAGCGGCAATCATATGGAAGAACTATAATCTAAGGTAGCATAAAGCTGCTGCAACCAAGAGATGGTTTTCGAGCGAACGATTCTAAATGATCTAGGTATGCAGTTGAAGAACCAAGTAGGGGTTCTTACTTTAGTACCGTTGAGTGTGTGAGGGACCCCCCTGAATTTTAGCATTTGCAATCCCAGAGCCCTTGAAAGCAGCCCAACCAGAATCAATAGTCTTTCAATATTACACAGATTATATATATATATATATATATATTACATAATATTAAAAAAGGAGATGAAAAGGGATGTTTTTATGTGTTTATGATCCCTTTGAGCCATTGAATTCAATTTTTTTTCACTATTCCTCGTACACCCACGGCAAAATAGAGAAGCTGTGGAGTAATTACCTTAGCTAAAATCAAGAAATCATTCATCTTAGCTCATAAGAATAGAAGATCAGGAAATCCTATCCCTTGAAGAATATAGAAGGATGATAGAAACAAAAACTGCAAGGAAAACACAGAAAAATAACACGTGGTTCAGTGAGATCCACCCAAATCCATGATCATACAAAGATATATTACGATAGATCCAAAGATGATTACAGGATTATAATATTTTCACACCTGCATATCCCCTCACTATCACTTTTCTCTCTGTAAGTTTCTCTTTTTTTCTTCCCACAAATCACTTTTCTCGCTTATTTTGCTTCGAGAAAAGCAAACACTCAATGTTAAAAAAAGTCTTAAGTGAAACCATATAATATACAATATTATATCTTCATTCATCACTTTATTCATTTCCTTGAGGGTTTCCAAAATCTCAAACCAAAACTTGTAGCAAAATGACTTTTGACTCCAATCACCTACCATTTATAGAAGTAGTTACTCAAAGCTACCGTAGGCTGTCCCCAACAATTGATTAAATCCACCTTATGGACCCCAAGCCTTACCACCCACAACCGGCTGTCTAATCTTTCTAACTCTCTACTAATAGTCGTTATTTGAAAAAAAAAAATTTAATAGTTAACAAAACAATAATATATAATACTATCTTCAATCTTCTGTTTATTCATTTCCTTCACAATTTCCAAATCTCAAATTGGGACTTCATATAGACCTACGTTGACTTTGATCACCTTCTCCATATAAATAATCTACTAAGATTGACGATCGCCACCTATAGATGTCACTAGTCAAAGCCATCACAAGTCCTCGACAATTGGTCAAATCCATATGGTAAATCCTGAGCCCCACTAACTGACACCGACCTATTAACATTTGTAGCTCATTCTTGCAACAATTCTGACGTACCTCAAATTATTTGCTTCTAAAGCATCCTATAGCATAGCATCACATCCTGCAAACATCAAATACCACACTAAAACATCCTATAGAATAAAATAGAAGCCCCAACGAGAACTCCACCAGCCTCCTACCTTACCAAGCCACCTTCATTCTCCCAAGACCACTCCATCAATCTCCACAAGAAATTTAGAGCATATGCTTGAGTTGAGCCCTACCTGTAACTCTCCTTTTATAATTATTATGAAGTTGTGGAGATAGCAAAATTAGAAAACAAATCATATTTAATGAAAGATAGTAGGCCTAATTTTTTTTTAACTAAATCTAAAAATAATCAAATCAAATTAGAACAAATAATTTGCAGAAGATGCGCTATCTTTGTAGGGTTTGATAAGAGATAGAAAGAAATTATTCTCCACATGCCTGATACAACTAGGAATCTCGTGAGAGAATCATCTTCGCACCACATTTGCTGAGTTCATGAGCCCATATGAATTGTGTCTTACTATTGATTTGATGAAAACATATTGCAAACTAACTTACAACCAAAGAAAATGCAAAGCTCAGACTTGAAGAAGTTGAAAGTATCGAAGGAAAGCGCCTACAAGCACAACAACATCTGGAGCTATACCAAGCAAAGATGATACGAGCTCATGTCAAATTGGTCCGCCCAAGGACATTTAAAATTGGTGATCTGGTCCTTGTTCTCAAAAGACCTATTCTTGCACGTCGCAAGATAGGTGGAAAATTTGAGCCAACTT